GGTACACTAGGGTAAGTTGATATGCTAATTTCAAATATGATAAACACTTTAAGATTTATCGATTGGATCCATTGATTTATTGATTTGCCGCGATTTCTGGTCAGAGGCACTGGGGGTTGGTGTACTGGGGTAACTTGATATGCCAATTACTAATTTGATATTTTCTTGAAAATTCATCGATCAATTCTATTGATTTACTGATTTTTCGCACTTTTCGTTTTGAGGAGCTGAGAGTCGATGTACTGGGATAACTTGATATGCTGATTATGACTTTGATATTTATTTCATCAATAAGGCGGTTTTTAGCTTTGAACTGCTAGAAGTTGGTGATCAACGGTTTGTCAGGCTGATTACGAGTATGATTTTATTCGAGACAATATTTACTTTTGCATTTTCATGATGCTATCAATTAATGCAAAGATGGCTAACATGTCGAATAGTACGATGTTATTTTTCCAGCCTAGGTTTGCTAAGAGAGCATTTTTATGCTGGAAACTCAGAAACTAAACTGTGCTCCTTTTCCGGGAAAAAATTTATTTGAAACAAAGTACTACTGACTACTTTGGAACGACCGAGTGACGCCGGGCATGCAAGCTAGTTAGTTGATAATTTAAAACTTTTACAAATGGATATAGCCTAAAGCAAGTCTTTTTTGCTCGTTGAGTTTGGATTTCAAATTTTGGTTAGTAGCCAGTTTCGGGTGGAGATCATAGGTCACACCTTAACTTTCCGAACTATGAAAGCTGTATTGTGCGTCAATGCCAAAAGCAGTCGATTCTCGAACGTGCACACAGAAACTTAGGTTGCCCGTGGGGTTTGAGTTATATGCTTATATGACATTGAAAGAAGGGGAAACGCTAGTTTTAGGATTAGGAATCATGTTCCCCAAATTTAGACTTGGTCCTGACATGGATGACACAGTAACCAAGCGGACATATCCGCGGCGCGGCCACCGCTTATGAAGAACCAATAATAGTCTTGCAGATGTTTCCGCGCATTGTGATCTAAAGGCACCAGCGAGTCCGTTGCTCCAATACCGTATGAACGCTATTCTGATTGAGAAGTTGGCTGTACATATGTAGAGCTGTTAACCATATCTTAAGAACTTAAGTGAGGTTGTTAAAGGTGTTTCCAATTATCGCTTTCTGTCAAGTAGCAGGCTTTTGACAACACTGAAAACAAAGAGATAAAATGCTTACCACCTTTTGAATAGCATCATAGATTTCATCGGGAGATTTCTTGCTCAGACAGCCTCGGATATTCCTGTCACAATTCAGAACCTAAATCTAAACCTATGACTGTGGAACGTGCACATCAGCTTCAAAAGGATACTTACCTTTGCTAGATCCAAAGAACTTTTCACAACATTCGATCCAAGGGCCCATGATGCCCACGGAGATCCGGACATCTCAATCGATTGGTTAATGTAATCTGTGCAAAAATTGCTATTTTAAACTG